AGATCAGCGAATTGCTTAACACCCTTAACGTGGCGCTCTATAATAATGTCAGCCAAAAAAACATAGGAAACACCGGCAGTTGAAGAGAACATTCGGAAGCTACTTTAAAAAATGACAAGGTCTTTTTTAATAAAGGCTGGAAAATTAACTGGAGAGCAGTAATGAATGAGGGGGAGAATACAGGCATCTACAAAACGCCAAATTAGGGTTTGTGGTGTGTGATATGAACGCAAGCGGCGGATATAATATAAAAGTTTACGGATTTAAACGCCAGATTAGGGCTTGCTGTGTGTGATATGAACGCAAGCGGCGGATATAATATAAAAGTTTACGGATTTTGATAAAAAGGGCCTTCTATATGAAGAGCAAATGTAAGGTTGGATCCAAGAGTAACACCACGGTATCGCAAAGAGGATACTTCGTTGGGCAGAATGTCGATAGTTTCGGGACTAAAAGAGGGTTGCAGTCGAAAAATACACTGGACTGACTTTCGTTCGTTGAGACATGGTCTAGGCCATCCTTCAATATTTGGAGAGTGTCTGACTTTTGAGAGGATGGCCAACAACCATATCATCAGCATATTTAGCAAACAAACATTTATTTGGCGATCGTAGGTCATCAGTGTGGAGGGAGAAGAGATGCGGGGATAATATAGCCCCTTGAAGAACTCCACAGTTGTTGGGAAGGAGCATGGTAAACCCTCGGTGTATTTCTTTCCTCAGTGTATACAGTGCAACAAGCTTGAAGCTATCACAGTGCGCTTAAAACCATGGCTTAGAGAGTTGTCAACTGACGGGATAACTTTGACCGGCAAGTCAGGCCAGTGTGCGTCTTGTTGTGCGAAGTGGCTGACTGGCGGACTGACAGTAAGTCTGCAATGACTTTTTTAGTGTGGCCTTTATGATACTCCCATGTAAACGAGGTTTTACTGTGGCGCGTATTGGAGAGGTGGCCGCGCTACACTGGCTGCAGATGCAGAAGTGGTAAAAGGGTGAAGTAGACTGTCCGATTCGATCCAGTGTGAGTCTTCTCGTTTGCCTTTAGCCTACTGAAGTTCGTGATGGACATCTTCGAGAAAGACGGTTGAACTATCTAGGAGTTATGCGCTTAACATCGAAAGAATTATACCCCTGCGCACCAAAACGCAATTCACGCTGATCTAATTCACGCCCTTTTTTAAATGAAATCTTCAGTTCACCACAAACTTTGTTGCATAGGAGAACATCAACGAAGTTCAGCTGGTTGTTTTCCCGCTCCTCCATTGTACATTCTATGGCCAGAAAACGTTGTTTCTCCGTTCTCTGGACGCAAACACCCGAACTTGTTCGACGACAGTGAAGGTATCATCCAAATACCGCACCCAGAATGTCTGTCTATAGTGTTGAAAGCCAGTGACTTCACCCATTGTAGGACCGCCTGGACTATGAAGCCTGAAATCTTCGAATACGATAATGCTTATTGTGTAGACGGTTAAGAACCGATGAAACGAGAATCACTCTTAATTGTTTCTCTGTGAGACCTTCCTGGCAGTCTCACTAGCCGTAGAAGTGAGGACAAATCGAGTTCAGTAGATGCAAAGTAAGTCTGCCGGACTAGATCACGCGTAAGTTATCACGCGACGCTCATTTCACGTGGCAAATAGTAGTTTCAGTCGTTTCTCTAAACGGTTGACTGGTGAGAAATGGGTTTATTCCTTTCCGACCTTATTACTAACTCAAGCTATTTTGCGATATTGTGTGTAGCTGTTACCCTACGCAACTGCAAAACGTAAGGCACAGAGTGGATATTCAGCTTTCCGAATCTGTGCATCTGGTGTTTAACTTCCAACCGGAAAAAATAGAGCAGAACATTTGTGCAGGGGGATTGAATTACATGCGTCTTTCGCTCTACTTATGCAAATAAGCCAGGATACAACGTTATTGATTCTAAGAAGAAGAGGTCTCGATCGCTGGGACAAGACTTTCATTCGCATGACCTTTCGAGATCCATTGCGTATTCATCATTAGCGACGGGTACGTACGGGTAGCGTATACACAGGAGTTTGCAGTAATTATAGGATACAGTAATTACTGCAAACACACAGTGACATTTAATGGTAATTGCTTCTTCCACGTTGATAGTGGGTTGACCGGCCTGTGGGCTCTGACTTGCTGAACTTTCATCTCGGGCGTAGGACTCGGACATGATGATTGTCCGGCCACTTAGCTCTCTGCTGTTGGCGTAGGACGACGCGGTGGCCTGTGCGTTCCCGAAGTGACGACTTGCTTTGGCCAAATGCAGTCACAGCACCGAATATGGGTTCGACAAATCGTTGCACCTGTTTATAGATTAAGGCCCGTGAACCACGGCTCAAGTAGTTCTCGACGCACCCGGTAGTCACCTCTTGCGAGAATTTCGGTCTCCTCAAATTTGAATGTGTGACCGGGTCCCGTGGAATCAGGTGGAACTTGCAAATGGCATCATTTCGCCGCGATGTTGTCACGTGCTCCACAATTCACGTCTTGACAAGTCCGTCAGTTTCTCCGACATGGTTGCTTTGTCCGCAACTGCACCGGATCCTTTAGACGGCTCCAGACTTTTTTGCCGTCGCAGTGGATCTTTCAATTTCATTATCTGACGCCTTATGGTCACCTCAGGTATGTGCGCGACCCCATATCCAAGTGGTGCGTGAAGGCGACCAACGGACTCTTAGACTTTTATGACGTAAAAGATTATTGATTCTTTGATTCTTGCAAAACGATAAGCCTAGCTGCAGTTCCATCTTTAGCCGAAACCGAAAATAACTCCCAGCTCAGATAAATAACAGAAACTGATCTGCGTTGAGCCTCCTCAATGCTATGCACTGCCATTTTGAAGGGCACTGTCAGTGTTTTTGCAGTTCAAATGAACTTCTTATACACAAAAACATTCTGCCCGCTGTCAGCACTTGAAAAGAAAAACACAGTCCGCGCTTGCCCCTTTTTAAAAAGCAGAAACGCAGCGGACTGTTAACTTATTTACTTTCGGCACTCTCAACATCAGCTGCTGTCACTACGTCAAGCAGAGTAACGGAGCTCTGCCTTTCCCAAGCTTTCAGATCTCGCAAAACGTGTGTGCACAATTTTTCTACGTCTGACGACGAGCGGTGGGTCCGTGTCGAAAATTTACGCAATAAAATTGAAAAATTTTCCACAGAAATTCTTATTGTCATAATTAATATCTTGGGATGCAAATATTTAAATACAGCAAGTTATGTAACGCAACAGTTGCCCTTTGGTATAAAGCAAATCTTGATAAGTTTGGAACTGGTTACTGTGGACTATTGTGTCAGTTTGTATTTCTCATGCGTACAAGAGCATATTCAATCCATCGCCGATTTGGATGGAGTAGGAGATGTGAGTCCGAGCAGTAACTGATAGCACACATCAAGGGGTGGATTAAAGTCACACCCAGGCAGTTTTGGCTTTTGAGTGTGCAAACGAAGTGACCTCTTAATGAGTCATCTCTCCCAGTCCATTCAGGTAGTCTGGATCCAACACCTGTCACTTCGAGACCAGAAAGCGTGCACCGAAGGTATCCAGCCTAAACCTTCCCGCGGGTTATTATCTGGGAACTGCCCACTCTATGAGAGGAAACGGGAATTTCTCTCTTGCTGTCGCTTATTGCTGGACTATTCGTGCACTGAGAAATCCGAGAGTTCGCTTGAATGGTTAGTTGGTCTCTAGTTGATCGTCCCTGCTTATAATATACAAAATAGATGAGACAATCAAACGGCATCCAAGAAACGGGGCACCTACGTATTCAAACCGTTCTGCCCTCCCAGAGTTCCAAGATGGGGGCTGCTCGATCACCGAAACTACTTCGTTATTCATATATGTATCCAGATTCTTATAGGGGTAGATCTTTAGATATAAAAGTTGGCAGCAAGCCAATCAAAGGTCATAGGGGATATCAAGCTGAAGTAATGCCGGCCCACAGGTGACTGCGAGGGGCTTTGTATGCCTGTGTCAGATCGATATATCTATTGATTCGGACGAATGGTTTGAGAAGTTCTCCTGTACCACACTTTATCGGCCATCAACCGGGCTCCCTAAAGGCCGAAGTTAATTGGTTGAATGAGTGAATAAGGGGTTTTCGAAAGTAAGAGAAAATATTTCGTGCAGAACCTTAGCACCCTATGAAGAAAGGAGATAAGATAAAAGATGAGTCTGCCAACTTTAAGCAGATTCGTTCGTTTGAAAATGTTAAGATTTCAGTAGTCAGGGGCAACTAATTTTATGAATTTGCCGCTCCAACACCAAGATTACTCATATCATTATATTTAGTTAACCCAATTGTGAAAAAGGCCTCGCGGCGTTCGGCGACTGTCCAACCCGCATAACAGGGACGACCTTTACGCAGCCAACGTGTAACTACTTCAGCTACAAACACCACGCCTTGCCCCGTGAATTTAACTACACTTGGATCGCCGCGACTTTTTTCCCAGTTGGGTCAACTAAATTAAGCTAGCCTGCCAAAATTCCCTTGTTAATACCCTTATATATTACATAAATCCGATTCTGCCGTCTGTGATAAGCGAGAGGTTTACACATGTGTCCGACTTTTATTTGCTGTCCGAATGTTCAAAATTGTCGACCTAATTCACACAGGCTTTCTGTGGTCGGCTGATTCTGCTATTGTTACCGCGACGGAATCTCAAACGTCGGCCCAATAACGTTCCTGAACCAGCGATCATATCTGCATGTTCCCACTTAAATCCTTGGACTTGCATTTCCGTTTTAAGTGCCTCAAATCTTTTACATGATTATATAGCAACTGCTGATAAATTTGACTTAAAGCCTTCTTAACCCTTTTTTTACAGATGGTCCGGTTCTTCAAGGGCCCCCGCACGAGATCGAAGCCGTCTCGATAGGCGAATCCATTCGGCTAGTTTGCATCGTGGACGCCAATCCCACGGCCGCGGTCACCTGGTACCGGTACACGGGCATCCGCCTGGTCAATCAACACACCTTCAACCAACTCTCCGACAATGCCTCCGGTTACGGCATATTTTCTCCCCTCATTCTCACGCCTTCCTTCCTGCAGTCCTTCTGGTCGGCCAGTCTTTCAAACGCAGACTTTCAGGTGAGTGAGATTCATCTCAATCCGCTGGTGAGGGTAGATAGTGCTGTATTACCCGGGCAAAGCCTACTGTCACTTAGCACGAAGTTAGGTGGTGTTTCTGGTTTGCATTTGAGAAAGCGGCCAACGCCGGTTCCAGTCTGGTTTTCTTGACCCACGGTGAAAGTGAAGAATACGATT